TGACACGGATGGAAGGGTGCCCTTTGCTGAGTCACCCCTCCCTGTTTCTGCAGCTAGCTGGTCCTTGGAGGTCTCCCATCCACACTTCAACAAGGCCTGCCGCTGCTTAGTGCATATGGGCTCCTGGTGGTTTGGCTCTGTGCCTTCCTTCCTTTCTTTTGGGCTGCGAGCCCGGTGCACTGCCAGCCGCCACGGCACCTGCCCAGGGTCCTCGGCTCTGCTCCTGATTTGCCACGGTAGCACAGAGCGGTTGTGTCCCATGGGGAAAAAATGCTACGGCCACGGCCATCCATGCCCAAAGGTCACCTGCCAGGTGGCCAGGAACTGCAGCAGAACCCAAGCCGCAAGCCCTTTGCTGTTCCTGTGGGATGCAGCCAAGCTTCTGGGAAAGGGGGGAAGCACTTGGCTCTGGCTCGTGCAATTCCACCTTCCCAGCTTCCAGGCATCTCTGCTCTTCCCCACTCTAGTACAGCAGCTCCCCAGCTGTGGGAAGACTAGCGGTGGGTCGTGCGTGCCCCAGAAGCGCTCTCCCCCTCTGCCCCGTGCTCTCACTTCCCCTGGTGCAGCAGCAGCCCTGCAGAGGAAGTGTCCAGAGCCTGGCAGTGATCCGGGCCCAGCTGGGGGCATGGCTGAGGAGAGCCAAACACGGGGGCTTGGGCTGAGAAGGGGAGTGGGGAGCAGGGGGTTGGAGAGTGGGGGAGGGGAGTGGAGAAGGGGGTCAGGGGGCTGGAGGGCCCCCACTTTAAAGGCACTCTGCAGCCTGGTGTGACAGCTCCTAGCAAGCCCGATTTGTTTTCTCTCTCTCTCTCACTGTCTCTGTATACGTCACGGGGGATCCCTCAAAAGACACGGTGCGGCTGGTGGGTCACCTTAGTAAAAGGTTTGGCAACTTCTGCTCTAAGAGGCAGCGCTGTCTAGTGGTTTGAGCACAGGACTGGAATCGGCTCCTGCTTATGCCTGGGTAACTGGGGCATGACCCCACTGGTGTCAATGCGAGGAGCCAAGCCTGGGGAAAGAGGAAGGGTTAATAACATGGACAGAAGCATGTCGGTGCTTGTGGGAGAAGTGGGCAAATCTGGGCGTGAAGGTGGCATTGCTGGCGAAATGGAAGGGGCTGGGGTCTCGCCTCCAGTGTAGAGGGTGGCCTGTAAAGATGGGCCCCGGGATGAGAATCTTCCTCTTGCTATGCTTGGCCTGTGGGCCTAAACCCACAGTGAGGGGTGCACCGGGCTGGACAAAGAGAAAGCATTGCATGCTGGGAAATGCAGTCCCTGGATTACAGCTCCCCATGCACGCTGAGCTCTGTCATGGGCCCAGCTGGAGTACGGTGTGGGCTGCAGCTGGTCCGATGCAGCGTTCCTTTTCCTTTTTCAATGTGTGCATTGTGCCTGCCGCTGGGAACTGCTGTGGTATAAAGCCAGGCCTGCCTTTGCCTCTTGGGTGGAAGATGTTCCCTGCTGGCACCTCCCCAATGACTGCGGGGCTGGCTTTGCGGGAGCGTCGAAAGCTCTGGCCAGGATCAGCGACGCTCTGGCCAGGATCAGGGCCCCATGGTGCTGGGAGCCGCACAGACACGCCGGCCCTGCCCTGATGAATTTACAACCCAGTGAAAAGCGGGGGGCAGCGACTGTGTTAAGCAAGAGGAGAGAGGAAGGGTGAGAGGGTCAGCGGAGCTTAGTGACCTCCTGGAGTAGATCGGAGAAGGCGTTAACCTGGGCTGAATTAACACTAGGAAAACCAGATTGGTCTTCTCAGCCCTGCATTGACAGGCCATGGGGCAGGTTAACCTCCCATGGCTCATGCCTGCCATTTCTATGCCTTTCACAGGGTGTAGGTCTCTTGTTGTGGCTGCAGGGTGAAATGCACCCCTGACCCGGAGGGGAGGCACAAGGCCTAGGCACTGCTTATGACTTGTGCTGGCCCCTGTGCACCGGGTGAATTACTCCCCTAAAGAACCTGGCCTGGTTTGCAGCAAACAGCTACAATTTTCCCGGCATTTCTCCAGGGAGGGAAGCTCTGCTTGTGCTTTGGGGGCTCTGTGCTTTACATAGTGACCCAGGCAGCTTTGTAAACGAAGGCACAAAATTGTCCCCACCGGCAGAATCCACATGACGCTAAGATGCAGCAGGCCGAGGCAAAGGGCTGCTCTCGGTGCTGCCTAGGGAAGCCTCACGCTGGGATTCTGCTCCATTCCCTACCTGTGCAGGACTGGGACTTTCCCATGGAGCGGAGCTGGGAGGGTACGCAACCCGTCAATCCCATCCTCCTTTACTGACCTGCCAAGTCCTTGTGTTCTGGACCCCCAGGGGTTTTCTTGCCACCCGTGAGGACATCCACAGCCTACACTGGAGGCTTCCCCTGGTTCATTTGAGGGGGTCTGGGATGACGTCAGCTCTTGCAGGGGAACCCAGAGCCCTTCTAGTCAGGTCTTGGCAGGTACGTAGAGAGGACATTGGTTTTTCAGCCCTTTTGTTCTGCAGTGTAACAGATGCCTTGAGAATGCGGATATTAAAATCCCCTCCCTAGGCCATGAGCAGGAACCTGTTCAAGTCACTGGCAACATTCTTAATGGGAGCAGAATCAGGGCCTTAAACTGCTAAAAAACCCAATTCCAAACCGCCCCTGTAAATAAGAGAATGTAGTAGTGTCCCCTGGTGGGAGCCCAGCATCCGACCTCGTGTGTGTGTGTGTGTGGGGGCGCGGGGGCAGCAGCCCAGCCCCACCCCAAACTTCATGCCTTTTTAACAAACAGCCATGAGTGTGAGGATCAGGCCTTTGGCATTTCACACTTGCAGTGAGTTTTGGATGGTCTCAGACACACACTAGGGAGAATCCTGGCTCCCAGGATTGCCCTAACTAGTGAGATTTCACAGCATGCCGAGTACGGCATTCCAGGCCATCCTGACCCTGGTGGTGCCTTGTCTCCCATCGATGTGGCCACAGCTCGGAGACAGAACCCCCCCCAACCAAAGCGCCTCTGAAAGGGTTCCAAGCAAGCCACATGAGGATGTGGCTGGGATGGCAGGGTGACAGAGTCTCTGCTGGAATAGCATGCTGAGGACGGGCCTGGCTCACAGGCCCCAGGGTGACATTCACCCTGAAGCAGAGGGCCAGCAAACTGCCTATTCATCGCTTACGCCCTGTGGCCTAGTAGAGTGAAGTGCAGACCTGCCCCTCCTGAGATAGAAACGCACGTGACCCACTGGTGGGTGAGTGTGTGGTCAGTCCCCTTTCGTGCCTGATCCACAAAGAATGGGATCCTGTTCCAGCTGCTGCTGGGGAGTCCGGAATCCAGTTGTGTGTGTAGCTTTGGGGGGGTCCCAGTTGGACCCCTGGTGTTTTGACCAGGATGGCAGCTGTCACAAATGCCTTCTATGATAAGTATTACAGTAGGGCGTAGGGGCCCCAATCCCACTGCGCTAGGCACAATGCAAACATATAACAAAGGGAGGGTCCCTGCCCCCGAAAGCATGCCGAACTAAGCAGAAGAGTCAACAGGTAGATGCAATAGACAGGCGGACAGGAGAACAATGAGACGATTGGGGTCAGCGGCGCACCAGTTGCCGATCGTTTATGTTCCATCCGGTTGATACAAGAGAGAACAACACAGTTAGTGCCGACAGCGTGTCTGCTAGGAAATCCGGCAGCCCTGTTCGGGTGTGTCTGTGCACGGTAGCCTGTGTGCGCGTGCGTGTGCATTTGCACGTGTAGGGACTTTATGCTGTTCTCTTTTGCTAGAAGAGTGCAATTCGCTCCCTCTGCGTGGCAGGTTTGTTCAAGGTTCCACACACACCACCTCCCGCCGTGTGGAGGGTTTGCTGCCCTGGGGTTTACATGGCACTGCGTTGGGGTGGACTTCACTGGACGCACTCACAAAATCCAGGGGGATAGCCCTGGGGAAATGCAAAAGATTGGCCTTGGATTCCGTGCTGCAAATCCTAGTCCAAAATCCCACCCCCTTTCAACACGGGGGCTGAAACCCACAGGGAGGTCCGCGCACCGAGGTCCCTCTTTGAAGTTGGATTGACATAGCTGCGTTGGTTGGAGGTCTGTGAAGAAACCACACCCCGATGACACGTTTATACCGACCTAAGCCCCAGGGTAGATGCAGCTCTGTTAATGGAAAAAGGAAGGCTTCCGTCGATTGAGGCTCTGATGACAGGCTCTCGTGGTGCAGCTGTACGATGGCCGCGGAGGGGGTTCTTCGGTCCTTGCTGTAAATCCACCACTCCACGAGGTGGTCGCCAGGTTGATGGAAGAATTTTTTTTTATTTTAACCTAGGGGTGTCTACACCAGGGCTTAGGTCAGCTTTATTACATCCCATTTTTCACAGCCCTGAGCGTAAGAAGTGAAGCGGACCTATCTCGGCAGTGTAGATCAGCCCGTAGCGATGGTCGTTCGGGGACGTGGTGTCCCTACACGGACAGAGAAACCCATCCCCCTTCCCCATCGCTGTCTGCACTACAGGCTTATGCTGGCCTAGCTATGCCGCTGTTGTCTCCGGGTGTAGACACAGCTGGGCCTCCATGGTGCCTTAGTGCCTGTTAATACTTGGACTAAAACATTAAACCAGCCTCTCCTCTCCCCTTCTCATTGCTTCTATTCCCCTGGGGAACAGAAAGTAATACCCCCTCTGTGCTTTTATGGTCCCACTGGGATGACTAACGTTAACCCCTCGTTGTCACTGCCCGCTGCCTCCTGATGGCGCTCGGAGACCTTAGAAAGAGGCTCGCTGGTAACAACGGGGTAACATTTACATTCAAAGTCTGGGATTCCTTAAAGGGAAGAATCAACCCCCGCTGTTGCCCAGAATCGGAGAGATCTGGTCCCAGCGGAAAGCGCAGAGCTGGAGTCTGGTGCAGAGCAGAGGGGACGCAGCCAGTGTCCTGCCCACGGCAGTCACTTTCCTGGAGGGAGCAGTGCAGTTTAGGGTCCCCAGAGGGCCCCGCAGCAGGGCTAGGCTCTTGGGGTCTGACGTTTCTCTGTGCTCTCCCCACAGTGGCTGTGGACACGACTTTGCATGTGGAGTGGAATGAGGTGAAGGCCCTGCCTGCCCTCTCACCCTTGGGGAGCACCAGGACGTCGCTGGTCCACAGGCTGGTTCGGCAGAGCTCGGTGGACAGCCAGGACTCTCTCGAGGTGCCACGGTTCTCATCCCTCTGCCTTTGGGGACGGGGGGTGCTCCGTAGGTGAAATGAGCTATGAGTGGGCGTGTGGGTCTATGGGGCAGCTGTTTGGGGCAGGGGGAGATGGGGAGGAGGGCCATGTGCGTAGCTTCTCTGCCTTTCCAATTCAAGTGAAAGCCAGCTGCCGGTTATCTTAAGGCCCCAGCTGCTGGAGTCAGGCCTAAGTCTCACTTCAGCCCTACTTACGTGGCATGTAGGCCTTGTGCGATGAAAACAGCACCTGGGGTTTGGCTGGGGCTGCTGTCCTCCCTACCATCAGGATAGACCCACAATAGCAACACTTCCCCCTTTGCCAGTGCCTTGCAACTGAAGATCCCAGAGTGCTTTGCAACCCAAGAATGAGCCTCACCTTGCAACTTTCCCCCGGGACGCAGGTGGCAGCGGTAGGCCTATATTGGAGGAGGGGAAACTGAGGCCCAGAGGGAGTACGGCCTCCGTTTTCCACCGTAGCATCCAAATATCAGTGGCTTGTTTTGCAATCGTGGATCTAAGAGACTTGCTCAAGGTCAGGTCCAGCATGGGCAGCTTTGCCAGCCCAGCCCCATCTTGCACCAACCCACCCTGGTGTGGCGCTCAGATCCCACAGTAACTGTCGACTGTGTGATACATCAGAAATCTTTATTGGCATGACAGGCAAGGGTAGAACCTTTGGGCAGGGAGGAGCTGGCTGCAGGGGGACATTACTGAATTCCAGTCATCTCCTCCCCTGGCCTTTCGTTTCAGGGTCTCCCACATCTCACGGCTGCCTGGTTTAACTTTCTGCCTAAGGCTGCTGTATCCCCGGGGCTTTCTGAGGTTCTGTCTACACTGAAAGTGAAGATGTGCTTATAGCACGGGTAGGCACCCCTGTGCTAGCTTTAACCTGGGCCACGATAGTAGTGGAGATGTCCATCCAAGGCCTCATGTTCGTACCCATCCCGCCGCTGTGACCAGCTCCAACCAGAAAACTGGCTGTCCCCTTTGCCCTTGTCTGGGCTAGAGTATTTTGCCACCGTGAGCACCACTGCGTGCTCCAGGCTCACGTCACCGGGTGATTGCGCGCGCCCTGGGGAGCAAAGCTGCCTCCGCGGCCATGTCCCTCGGCATCGTTGCAGGGCCAGCGTGCACAGGAATAACAGGCTTTGGTGGTACAGTCGGTCTTCCCGCTCTGTCTGTCTCCCTGCCCGGTACTCTAGCTCTGCTCCCTGCAGCTGTGATGGGTTGGGGATCACTCACATCCGTAAGGGGCTCTGTCACCACCCGTCTTGTAACTTAGGGTGCTGTACTGTTTTGCTGCTGTGGCTCAGAACCTTGACACCCATAGCTGGTCCTTGAGTATAAAGGTCACATTGTGGCTTCCACCGGCCTCGTTACACCTTGCAGGGTGACCCCAACAGCCCTTCTGGTCCCCAGATCCGTGTAACCTGAGTTCTTAATGACTGGCCACTCGGATTTTCCCCTCTGGCTCACCGGATCAGTTCGCTTTCGGGACACGTGCTCCAAACAGTTTGCACAAAGGAGAGCTGCTAGGCGTAAAAATAAAAAGTTTATTTAATAGAAAAATCCCAGGTTCAAAGATGAGCTAGTGAGGAAAAACAAACCCAGGCAAGTAACGAAGAGAATTAACAGACACACAACTCCAGGCTTCACGCTTCTGTGTTAGTTAACTTGTATTAGAAAAGGGACATTGTCTATTGCCCCTGCACGGTTTCCCCGCATGCCCTTATGATAGAAGGGATCCAACCTTTCCCCAGCTTCCCATTTAGAGGCTGTCCCTCACCCCCATCGTTTCTGGATAAAAACCCTCAGACGCAAGCCTGATTTTAAAAGGCTTTCCCCCCTCACGCCTCTCTTTCTCCTGGCATGATGACTCTCAGTTATTCAGAGCAAACTCCCTCCTTCCTTAGGTTTCCAAGACTGGGGGTTTCTTGTCAGTTTCAATGTCTGTCCATTAACTTTAATGGTCCCCCATTGTCTGTTCCTGGCTGGACAATGGGTCATTGCTTGGAGCCAGTTTCATGGAAATATCTGGCTTGGGAGAAACCACCCCTTCTGGGCGGTGTGTGTGAAATCGTAGAACAAGTCATGAGTTTAGTACTTTAGATACATAGATTGATCACCACAATGTGTCTCCATATCTTATAATACCCATCACGCTCAGAACATCACAGGCTTTCATAAGAGACTTCACTCGCTGCACTTTTCTAGTATGATAACGTTGTGTGCAAGACATTGGTTCAGTTACTTGCTCTCTGGAGTTCAGCCCCCCTGGTTTCCCCTTGGAGTGTCTGGCCCCTGATTGTCACAGCAGCCTCTCTATGGTTAGAGTGCTGGGGGACTACGGCTCCCCCAGGGGTAGAAATGGGTGCCCAAAATCAGGGGTGTCTGGGCCAAGCTAGGAGGCCAAGTGGGTCTGCACACGCTCTCCCCCCTCCCCCCGCCCGCCCCCCAATGCTTACACCCTCAATGTACTTACACTGCCCGAGCCACCCGTGGACTGCCTCAGCCGTGTCCCCCGTGCTACTGAGACCTGAAAAAGTAAGAGCGGGGAAGGGTCCTTGTAAATCCACCTACACCCCAGGTTGCTCCAGCACCCACTTGTCCTCCCCGTCACCCCAAGCAGCAATCTATCCCCCCAGACCCCAACTGCGCTAGGTCAGGGAAGGAAGGGAATGTCTCCTCTCCAGACCCAGCGAGTGCAGATGGATGCTCTGTAAAAATAGGACACGCAGTGTGACTGCTCTGCACTGCTGCAGCTTGCAGGGGCTGTGACTGGACCAGGGCTAGCAAAATCTGGGTGTCCTTGTTCTGCTCTGGTTTCTTCCTCCATGCAGCTCCCTACCCCTGATCCAGTCAGACCCACATGCCCCCCACTCTGCTCAAAACTCTCTCCTGATTTGACAATAAAGCCAGTCCCTTGCATTGGAGTAATTCATCAATTCCCAGGCCAGAAAGGACCACTGTGGTCATCTAGTGTGACCTCCCGTATCACCCAGGCCAGAGGACTTACCGCAATAATTCCTAGAGCAGATCTTTTGGAGAAAACATCCAATAGTGGTTTAACAATTGTCAGGGATGAAGAATCCACCGTGACCCTTGGTCAGTTTTTCTAGCGGTTAATTAGCCCCATTGTCAAAAATGTACACCTTGTTTCCAGGCTGAATTTGTCTAGCTTTAACTTCCAGCCGTTGGATTGTGTTGTACCTTTCTCTGCCAGACTGAGGAGCCCATTATTAAATGTTTGTTCCCCCTCATCAGTCTGGATTGTAGGTGGCTTTGTCCTCCCAAGTCCAGACCAGGCTCAGGGCTGTAGAGATGGTAGATAAAGTGAATGCCCAAGCTGTGGGTCGGCCCCAGGGGCATTCTCTGCCGCTCATGAGCACCCAGCTTCGGCCACATAGGCGCTAACTCTGGGGGTGTTCCGGGGTTGGAGCACCGACGGCCGGCAGCCTCCCCATCAGTTCACCCCCCTCCCCCAGTGCCTGCTGGCGGGCCCTGCAGATTAGCGCCTCCCCACTCCCTCCCCATGCCTTTCACCCACTGTGATCAGCTGCTTTGCGGCATGCAGGAGACTGGGGAGGGAGGAAGGGGGAGCAGTGAGGATTAGGTGCGCTTGGGGAGGGAGTGGAACTGGGCGGGGCCGGGGTGGGGCCTTGGGGGAAGGGGTGGAATGGGGTGGGGCCTGGGGCAGAGCCAGGGGTCGAGCACCCCCGGCGCTTTGGAAAGTCGGTGCCTGTGTCCTGCCAAGCTTCCTTTCTGAGCAGGGGAGAGACCTTGCTGAGCTCAGAACATGGGTCTAGCCCCGAGCTCTGCACCCAGGAACCCCCTGGTTCAGCCCTGGGGAAACCAACCCTTTTGCTCTCCTGTGAGGAGCAGCGCACCCACAGTGCACCCAGCGGAGGCTGGGGCAAATGAGGCAGAGAGATGTTGGGAGTGTGGAAGCAGCTGAAGTCTGTCTCTTTCCCCCTAGGTACAGCCTCCATGATCCCCAGTGGGATTGGGGGTGCTCAGCAGTGCTCATAATCTCCCGCTTTGATGCAGGGGCCTAAATACGGCTTTAGGAGCCAGCTCTGGGGTTCCAGGTTTGCCAGTGCGTGAAGCCCCATCAGAGCAAGGCAGAGCCTTTTAATGGATGCCTCTGGGATGGCTCTCTGGGTACCCAGGGCAGTGAGTCCCCCTGTTCTCCCTCACGCTGGAGGCAGGGGGATACTTGCTTGTGCTTAGCTGGGTGTCGGCTGCCTGACACCTCCAGCCTGGTAGTCCCCAAAAGCGCCCTCCTCGGGGCAACGCCAGCCCTCCCTTTGTCTTGCAGGCTAATGATAGGTGCACCCCACTCCCGGAGCCCCTCTGCAGGGTGCCCTGTAGTGTCCAGCCCCGTATCCACTGAACGCCCCCAGAAACACCAGGTCTGCTGTCCCCAAGGGACCAGTGCACACACCAGTTTGTAGGATTCAGCTCAGGATCGGCTCCTTGCTTAACGTCACAGCTCTGAGATAGTCAGAGTGAGCCATGGAGACGTTTAATATCAAAGATTCAAGAGGGAATGGGAAAGGATGTTGGAAACAAACTCGTAATGTGCTTTCTGGGGGGCCAGGCTGACCTCCCGGCTAAAGCTGTTTACCTTACCCCCAAAGTCCTCTGCAGCATTTCAGACAAGGCTGGTTGTGGTCCCATTTTCATGCCTGTCCGCACGCTGCCCGGTTACTTCCAAAGTGCAGGCTGACGGGGGTCGTCTTCCTTGGTTACTTGTGTCCTCAAAGTAACCAGGGAGCTAAGCAGGGGGCAGCATCCATTGTGTTCGCTGAGAGTGCTTAATTTACAGCTCAGCAGAGAGACAAGTGAGTAAACATCCCTTGGCTGACAGAAAACCTGTTTGTCAACTCGGCTTTGAGACGGAGTCGAAACCTTGTTTGCTGTACACATCATAACTCCTCGGGTTGTGTCTGTACCTACCATTCACACCACGAGTAATGA